ACTCCTGTGCCTTCCTGGAGACCTCAGCCAAGAGCAAGATCAACGTCAACGAGGTGAACAACTACCCAGCGTCAAGTAGTCAACAAGTTGTGGAAAAAGTGGTTGTAACTAACTTTAAATACTGTGTGTGTGTGTGTGTGTGTGTGTGTGTGTGTGTGTGTGTGTGTGTGTGTGTGTGTGTGTGTGTGTGTGGTGTGTGTGTGTGTGTGTGTGTGTGTGTGTGTGTGTGTGTGTGTGTGTGTGTGTGTGTGTGTGTGTGTGTGTGTGTGTGTGTGTGTGTGTGTGTGTGTGTGTGTGTGTGTGTGTGTGTGTGTGTGTGTGTGTGTGTGTGTGTGTGTGTGTGTGTGTGTGTGTGTGTGTGTGTGTGTGTGTGTGTGTGTGTGTGTGTGTGTGTGTGTGTGTGTGTGTGTGTGTGTGTGTGTGTGTGTGTGTGTGCAGATCTTCTACGACCTGGTGCGACAGATCAACAGGAAGAGTCCAGTTCAAGGGAAAACTCGCAAAAAGTCCACCTGTCAACTTCTCTAATGACAGGTAATGTTGTTCAGCTCTAATGTAAACCAAAGATATTTTAATATTTGAAATGATCAAAATATAAAATGTGGTACAATTTTGTTCGAATTTTTTACATTTGGATTTTTTTTCCTTCCAGTTTTCTGCTCACCTGACCGACAACCAACCAACCAACCAATCACAGGGCATCTTCCAGCTGGCCACGCCCCTTTCACACAACCATGACATCTTCACCCTGCGCCATCTCTGACCTCTGTTCCCACGACGACCCCCCCCCCCCCCCCCCCCCTCCCCCCTCAGAACCACACAGTCCGACTGACTGTTGCCTTGGAAACATTGAAACCAAACATCAAAGGATTGCGGCGGCGGCCATGTTGAAGATGACTCGACAGACTCCAAAAACCAACTGCCCGGATTTAAACTACGGTTCCCATGATGCTCTCTGCTGGGGGAGTGGCCTCTTGCTTTCTACTTTTTAAATGTTTCTTTTTCTCCTTTTTACTTCCAGCAGTCGAACCTGTGGATCCATTCAGTGATTACTGTTATTACTAAGGTGGTTATTATTCTGTGTGAAAAAGATATACAAGTCATTTAATGTTTTTTATTTTTGGGGCAGTGGGTGGGAAGGGCGGGGGGGGCGTGCAGCAGGTCATGTGGTTAGCTCACCGCGCTAGTAGTATCAAGCTAACGTGAGTTTTAGCCGACAGTTACAGGAGAGAGTTGCCAAAATTAAGATAAAATGCTAACTTCAGTTGTACGAAATTGTTTGTTTTTTTGCTGATATTTCCAATTAATTCTAGCACATTAACGATGCCAATAACGAGTTAAATCAAGAGCTTTGCTAATGGCTAGATATCAGTTCCAGAAGCAACTTAAATGCATTGTTTTCGGAGGGAATGCTAGTTGTTCTAACACACAGTTCGTGAAGTATTAGCTTTATTTAGCATTGTCTTCTTACTGTGAACTTACTGGTTACTTTGTTAGCATTGCAGCTATTCAAATATATTTCAAATATTGTGAGAAAAAACGATGTATATGTGGTGTTAGCATTATTGAATTAATGGTAGCTTGGCTAGTTAGCATGTCAGTGAGGAAAAGTATTGAGTTTCAAAACATCAACAATGAAACTTGAACATTTTGAGGCAAAATGTAAGAACAGCAAATGCTAATGTGATTGTTGTAGGGGATGCTAACAACGCCACTAAAATAATAGTGTCAGAGTCCTAGCTTGTTAGCGTAGCAGCGTGGTGAGCTGACTCTGGATCTGCTGCTCAGGGCGGACATGTTGCCTTCAGACAGCAGACTCACACTGGTCCTGTGTGTTTGTGAATTTGTTTGAGTGTGTGTGTGTTTGTGAATTTGTTTGAGTGTGTGTTTCTGTGTGTATGTGTGCTAAATAACTATGAACCACGCCATTTTCTGTGATTAACTTTTTTGACCCAGGGGAATGGGGAGGGTGTTATAGAGTATTATTAACCATCATTATTACCTGATTATTAATGTTATTAACACGTCTGAGAGGGAACCACTGAGTTATTCTGCATAACGTCCTTTAACTGATGGGGATATATTTAAATATCCATCTATGGAGGATCAAACATGACCCAAAAGGTTGTTCCTTCATATTCCTGCACGCCCGCAATGTCAAGTTGAGTATTTCATGCTAGCACTTAAGCAAACCCTGCGTTGTAGCCCAAAGCTAACATGCTATAGCGTTAGCATTGAGTGCTGCCGCCAAATGGATTGTCGCGTTTTCTTTCAAATTTCATTTTTGCGAAGAAAATGTGCTTAGTTTTCATCGTCTGTGTAGCAGTGAAAAAACTGCTACACAAATAGTAGTTTTGTCAGACGTTTGCGTGATGATATATATTTCAATTACTCTTTTATGTCAGCTACTATCGGACATATTTTTCCACGTTATGGTAAAATCCAAGAAGACTGCAATTTGTTTGTTGTTGGTAGTTGGCTAAATCCGAACTTTCGCATCTACGCCTTTTGCATAACCAATTTAGGGCATTAACTATTTAAAAAAGGCAAAAAAACGCCTCAAGTTGCGTAAAAACGTTTCAGCGTAACTGAGCAAGTTTTATAAAATGATGCCGTTTTGATACAGCAATATTAAAGTTAAGTAATGGAAATGTGGCCAATATTCCCATCAGTTAAACACCTTATAATCTCAGTGTTACTCTTTAACGTTATCACGGCATTTGACTGACCGTAGGAGGTTGGGCTTAACGCTGAAGCCCCGCCCCCACATGTATTCAGGGGGCGTGGCCTGTGAAGCAGCCGGGACACAGGAAGCCTTTTGAACCCTTTGTTTTTTGAAATGTGAGAATGGTCATCTTGACAGTGTGTTGGACCTCTGTGAGTACTACTCAGTATTCTGGTTCTCCTGCAGTACTTCATGTAGCATGTTAATGTGTTTCCTCCAGGAGGGGCTGAATCTCAGTTTGCATGCCGAGCAGAGGCTTCGAGAGAGACGTCTTTATGCAGGCGATCACCACGTATACGAGAATTAAAACGTGGCGATGCTAGCAAGCAGAAAAGTCAACGTTTCCATAGCCGCAGCTTCAGGCAGACGTTTCTCACTTCCAGAGTCTGCGGTAGCGCTCGACATTTTGTGCGACTTCTGGGGCTGTAGTTGCTGTAGTTTGTCAGTGGTCAGATCTAAAGGTCTCAGTTATGCTTCAAAAAAATAATGTTTTACTAACTAAATGTAGGAAAACTGTTCTTCTGCATGGGACAATTCATGGTAGTCTGCAAAATGTGATGGTTGTTTGATTGTCTATCTTACTTTTAAAAGCAGAGAAGGACAAACAGTGTATTTGAGTACAACTTTCCCCACTCCCACCCAGTTATAAAACGTGTTCTAGTCTTTGATGGAGCTTCTTCTGAACACCTCGTAAGAGCAGTTAAAGTTCGGCTGTCTTCAACTTCCACTATTACTGCATAAAGTTGGTTGGATGGCATTTGGAAAATCATGACAAATCGTCCAAAGCAGAAAAGAAACCCACTTACTTTGAAGCATACAGAGGCCTAACGTCTGCGATTAATTGAGCCATATTTGTACCCACTTTTTAAAGCGCTAGGCTAGCACTTTCCCTCTGTTTCCACTCTTTGTGCTAAGCTAGGCTGAACACACCCTGGACCTAACTCTGAGATTAAACTGAACAGAAGTCGCCCTGAATGACGAGCGCGAGCGCAGCCGAAAGCAAACTGAAATCTAAAGAAGAAATGATTTTACGTTTACTGAAATAAACCTGCTTCTTTCTTCTCTGTATGGCATGATGACCAGTGAAATGTAAAAGGATCCAGTTCAGCGTCGAGCAACCGGTTAAAAAAAAAAAGATCCCCGTTTTTATTCGGCTGAATCCTGGTCCCTTTTCTCAGCTGTTGTTGGATTTTAAAAACTGTTATGGAAATTGAAATTCTGAACTGGTTTTGTCCCAGTGCAAAAACCCACAGCAGCAGTGAGGGAGATAAAGCAGGAGGGGGGGGGGGGGGGGGGGGGGGGTAAAGCCAAATGTAAAGTAAAAACTAAAAAGCCTTAAATGAATAAAAGTGGTGCAATTTTGTAACAGCAACCTGTGGTGTGCAGTCATTCTGGATCAATGTGCATACACCTTCACACATAAAACAACACCTGTTTCTGTGTGTCAATGTACAGTCTTATATATTTCATTTAGTATGGGTATAATGTAAGGATAAATACATATGTAAATATACGTTATAATATATTTTTTTAAATGGTCATAATTACTCAAGATAAAATATAGTGCCATTATGAATTTGTTTAGTAATTATCGTAATTAAAAATAATAATTATAATAGTTTGAGAGGTTTTTATTATTGTTATTATTATTTTATTTGTAAGAGGTCCTTTATACTATTATTATAACGTTATTTTGTAGTGCTCATTATTACAAATAAATTATTATTACAACAACATATTTCTTTGAAAGTTAATTATTGTTATTATTATTATTAGTCATAATATATGTTTTTGAGGGGTCACGCTCTGTTGACCTACATCACCGCTGACGTCAGTTGTCAACGCGCTTACGTCAGACGCTTCTAAGCTGCCATGGCAACGACGACCCTGTAACTGAAGCTGAGGAGCAGCTAGTTAGCAGCTGCTGGTCAACTAGTAACGTTGTTAACTAGTTATACGATGTCAACCAGCTAGTTAGCAAAGTGTAAATGAGCGCTATGACTAAGGAGTGAGTCCTCGCGGGGTTTTGTGGCCGGTAAGCGCGAGATGACCGTCCGCTTTAAGGTAATTAGCAACAGGTGTATTAGCATCGATAGCATGGTTAGCCAAACAAACGGATGCTAACCATTGACTTTATATGTAAAGATGCTAACCTAGCCACCTAGCTCTGTAACTGCATCAATCATGAACTAGTTTAAAGATCAGAGGTGGGATAAGTACTCAGGTCTTGTACTAGAGTAAAAGTAGAAGTACTCAGGTCTTGTACTTGAGTAAAAGTAGAAGTACTCAGGTCTTGTACTTGAGTAAAAGTAGAAGTACCAGAGTGTAGGAATACTCTGTTACAGTAAAAGTCCTGCATTCAAAATGTTCCTCAAGTGAAAGTAGAAAAGTATTCTCATCAAAATATAGTGAAAGTAGCGACAGTAAAAGTAGTGATTGTGCAGATTGGTCCATTTCAGAATAATATATCTGATATGTTTTATAATGATTGATCATGAAAGTGTTCTCAAAGCTGGTAAAGGTGCAGCTAGTTTGAATGACTTTGTATACTGCAGGGTAGCTTGTGAATTTACTCCAGGTGGAACTAAAGTCTGATTTAACACGTGATTAGATTTCACATCATTCATCCACATCTGTAAAGTAACTAAAGGGATTAAATACAGGTAGTGGAGGAAAAGTACTCAATTTACCTCTGAACTGTAGAGGAGTAGAAGTACAAAACAGCATAAAATGTGAATAATCAAGTAAAGTACAAGTACTTCAGAATTGTATTTAAGTACAGTACTTTAGTTTCTTTACACCTCTGATAAAGATGTAGCTCTGGAACCTGCAGGATGCTGCAGTCAGGATTAATGAGATTTAATCTGTTTAGCTAATCTAGGTAATCCTGTCAGTGACATTCCCCTGACGTTACCAACACAGCTATTCACTGTTACAACCACTAATGGGGGGATAATTAGAAACAGAATCAAACAGGTTTATTACCAAGTAGGTTTACACATGAGGATTTGGCCTTGGTGTATATGGGCATACATAAACACAGTCAAAGAAGTGTGTGTGTGTGTATGTGTGTGTTTGTGCATGTGTGTGTGTGTGTGTGTGTGTGTGTGTGTGTTTGTGCATGTGTGTGTGTCAGTGTAGAAGTGAATACCAGAAGAGCTACAGGACGTCCCGCCCCAGAGGTTCTTCTCCTCAGCGCTGCGTCCCATTGGCCGGCCTGCGCTCAGACCAGATGGGTAAGATCCCTGAAACCAGAACTGGACCGAGTCCCGTTTCAACTGTACGAAAGCAGAACAGGTTTTAATTATCATGACTTACTGAGGATTGGATTTGGTACAATGTTGTCCTCTTAAACACTCAGATTTAAAAAAAAACATTATTTAAATTTTTTTTAAAAAAAATTTATAATTATTGTTACACATATTTTTCTATATATTATTTAGGTTTATTTTATATTATATATTCATTTTCTTCATCTCAGGTATCTGCAGAGAGCCGTGTTTCCAGAGCAGGAGGAGGCTCTGCCCTCCAGATCCTCCACAGAATCACAAAACAGCGCCCCCTGCTGGTAGGACGCCTGCACTACACACCTGGGATCTCCCTTTAGAAACACATTGGAGTAGGAGCACAATGAAGTCATTCAAGTGCTGGTTTATCCTCTAGTACAGGGGTGGGCAAACTTTTTGGGTCGGGGGCCACTATCAGTTTTAAAATTTGACAGACGGGCCGGGCCAGTAGCAGATCGGTGAAAACATATTTAGCTTTCCACTCCTCATTAAACTCTCAGCACTCAATGTCGACTTGTCTTTTCTTTGGTCCACTCATTGTTACAGATGCAGGTTCAAAGGTGAATTATTGCGTCACCGTTTGCGTCATGACGTAACCGTCTATGTGCCTTCTTATTAGAGGCGTGTGGCGCGTGGCGCAGTGGACAGAGCCTTGGTGTTGGGATCAGGGGGTCACAGGTTCAAACCCCACTGCAGTCAGCATGTCGTTGTGTCCCTGAGACACTTCACCCCAAATTAATCCTGTGGGGATTGACCACAGTATGGAGTATGTAAATTGCTTTGGATTAAAGCGTCTAACATGTAATGTAATGTAATATGACCCACACAGCGTTTTACGTCGCTGATTTTCTCCGTAACACCGCTCACAACAACATCAATAGAGGATTGCGTCGGGTAGTTTTTAATCATACGAAGCCAGATTAAATTAAAGAGCTACTTCTCCAACCTTGTACTTTTCTCCAGAGTGCCGTGGTGCATTGTTTATTAATGTGATTCAGCGGGATTACCGCCCGCTGGAGTGCTGCTCGTCTACCGGAGTTTATTCTACTGTTAACTCGTGGCAGCAGCCGCTGTAAAGTCTTCACTGTCTGACTGTCACACAAGCAGCTGATAAATATCCCCCATCCCCATCAGTGAATGTGTGTCAGTCTGAAAGCTGTCTGGCATCACAACGCTGTTATGAAAGTTTCTCTGGTATTCTACAGGTGATGTTAGCATAGCAACCGAAGCTAATCAGACTATCTTGACTACTTGTTGCTATCATTTTGTGGCATAAGCCGTTTTCTACACCCATATTTTACCGGCGTAGTTTTCGTTATGATTTTACTTGTGATGGCCACATGTAGCCCATGTATTGATTCCATCTGATAGCTGCAATAATACAAAACAACAGGAAAACGTCTGCCTCTTCACAATGGTCAATCACAGTGAACGGATGGTTATTAAAGTAAGGTCAAATAAACAGAATCACACGAAGCCTGGTTAGTGTTGCCTGACTTTTTATAAGTGTGTGGTCGCGTTCTAGTCACTTTGCTCAGCGTTACTGCTTGTTACAACTTGTATTTCGCCATGAACTGTTATTGCTCAGGTTAATCTCGAGCCCCTCCAATGTAAGCGTGACGTATTTGGTTCTCTGATCTTGCCGGGTTGCAGACTCCAGCAAAGGCAAATTGTGTCTAGAGTGCGCCATCTAGTGGGATCAACTGAAATGCCGGGTATTGCAGGAAAAAGGCCAAATGAATGCGGTCTTTACTATAATTTGGACAATTTTGTACCAATATTTGGCGGGCCGGATTAAAAAGCCCAACGTGCCGTATATGGCTCGCGGGCCTTAGTTTGCCCATGCCTGCTCTAGTACGTAATGTTAACATGTAAACAAGATACCAAGGCTAGCATGTTAAGCTTCATGTATCCTTTATGTGTAATAGATAGATAGATAGATAGACAGAGACAGTGCAGGGGGAGGTGGCGGTGTTAGTGGATGTAGCATTGGAAGCTAAAGAAGCTAACTAGCCATGTTGCCGCCGCTGTGGTTCTGCTAGCCGGCCGCCCTGGACTCCCTAACCGCCCTGAGGTGCATCATGCCCGGCTGGAAGGAGAGAGAGAGACAAAAGGGAATTAACAATTAAAAATAAAATGAAAAGATATTATATCAAATATAAACAAAACAATATACAATATTCTGGATAGTTAAAATAAAAAGTCATAATTACAACAGGATCCAAAATACTTATGTGAGAATTATATAAGGCATGAAACATGTTTAGGTAAAAACTGAAACTTTTTCAGACATTTCTCACATAGTTATCCCAAAGATTTCAGGCATTTTTCTCAGCGTTTATTCGCACTTTTCACACTAAGATAACAGGGTGTTCTCTCAATTTCTTCCTTCTGTTTCACCAGCATCCAGGAGTCGCTCTGCCCACAGGAAGGAGCCCCCCCACCCTCCTGGAGCTGACCCTGGACCTCCAGGAGAACCAGAACCAGCTGAAAAACCTGGTAAATTCTCAACACATCACTCTACTTTTATTATCTTACATTGAAAGTGCTTTGTCCATCTTTAGTCCTTTGATTTTCTGTTTTTGTTATGTTTTTTTCAGCGAAGCCCCGCCCCCTAAAGCCTGACAGCCAATCACAGCTGAGCCAACCTGATGGACAGCAGCCAGCAGCGAATGAGGTGAGCTGAAATCTAAAATGAATAACAAAAGCACACTTTAAGCAAAAACTACAGCCCAAAGACCTTAATAGATACAAATAAACATACTAACAGTTTGAGCACAATACAACGAAACATTTGCAATGATATTAGTAGAGTTAACCCAAATTAAAACACAATCAAATTAATAATTTCTGCCTTTTTTTATTTTTCAAATGTTTGACCCGTCAGGTAAAACTCGATTTAAATAACTGGTTGTTTAGATAAACCTAAGTTGTGTATCTTTAGCATAACAGTGATTGTTGACATTATGGTAAGTTATTATATTGGGAGTATGTATAAAGAAGAACATACTAGAACTAAGGATGCTTCTTTAAATAAACAAACACAGTATTCAAAGTGACATGTCTCTGTCTACCTCCACCACAGGTATATCTCTGTCTTAAATCAAGTTTATTTAAATATATCGCAGGTCAATCACGCTCTGCGGTGGAGGGCGGGGCTTCTGTCAGGAGGTCAGAGGTCAGAGTATCACAGACAGTTCAGCTGGAAGAAATCTGCAGCTGCTGCTTCGCCAATACTGACCGCACAACAGGTACACTATAAATAAAGCTTTGAATTGAATTGCTGTCTGATAGTGAGACAAAACACCTGTATTTATCCCGCTTTAATCTGATCGTGATTTGACCCGTTTTAATGTAATACTATGAGTGTTTCTCCTTTTTATATTAAGTACTTTTAGGTGAGCTGTATACATTTAATTCATTATTATTACTGTTAATATTATTATTGTAATACATGTAGTTCAGCTGCCCGTCCACTAGGTGGAGGTAGACTGCTGGTTGTTTAGTTGTTTATATCAATGTCTCTCTGCTTTTGATTCATATAAACTTGTTTTATAGAGGGGCGAAGTCCCTCCCTTTCCGGGGGTCCTCCATGGGACCTTATTTCAGAAAAATTATGTATTGAAGTCAATGGAGAGAGAAAGATTATCTTTCGATCCCGTTTGAATTGTGCCACGAATTACACAAATGATGTTTGTCAATTTAAAGTGGACCTATCATGCTATATTTGAATAATATATTGTAGGGCCATACCTATATAAGGTATATTTATACGTTTTCTTTTTCAAAATACCAAACAGATCATGCATTTTAGCCATGCCTCATTTCGCTTTATTTTGCTCTCCTCCACCCTGTCTTTGCATGCGCTGCAGCTGACCACGCCCCCCTGCAAAGGAGGGGGCCGAGTTACGAGCGTCGTGTTACCATGCTGTTACCATGCCGTTACCATGCCACGGCAACCTCTCATTCCCCTGATAGGTCAGCTCCTCCGTCCTGACATCAGGACAGTGTTCAAATCTGGATCAGTTTTTATCAGATCCGTTGCAGCCCCTTTTTTAGAGATTTGGGTATGGAGGAAGATAGAGAGGGTTGTGTTTTCTGACACTTGGTGAGTTCCCTGGAACACCGGGGACACATATTCATGTATAAAAGACCTACAAAAGTGCATTTTGCATGATAGGTCCCCTTTAAAAGATAATTTTGCAAGTCAATTTTTTTTAAATGTGTCGTAAAACTGTGAAGTAACACATTTTTTTGTGTGAAACCGCTCAATGAACTACATCTCCCGTCTCGCACCACACACCAAGACGGCCGTCACGTTGGCACATTTCACTTCTTTCTTTCAGAATGAGGCGGAAAGTATTAAAAGAGGTGAAAATCACTCCAAGTCTGGGCATGTTGAGAGCTGTACATACACACAAGGGGAGTTAGTCGGTTCCTAAGAGCCAGCATGCGGGACCGGGACTCTGGGATTTGTAGTCTTTCTAGTTGCCTATTTTTCATAGTCTTATATTTCAACAGTTTTACGACAAACTGTGACTTTTTTGACATGGAAATTATTTTTTAAATTGACAAACATCATATGTGTAATTCATGGCACAATTCAAACGGGATCCAAAGATAATCTTTCTCTCCCCATTGACTTCAATACATCATTTTTCCGAAATAAGGTCCCATGGGGCGGAAGTAGAAGGACGGGACTTCGCCTCTCTATTCAAATAAAGTGTGTTTCTTAATCTTTTACATCATATTCAGATGTTTACCTGTGTTTGTTGTCTGTTTTCAGTTCAGCTTCATTGTTTACAGATCATTTAACAAAATAAATAATTAAACAAAGAATATAAAAACACAATTGACTTCAGCTTGACGTATTATTTTCAGAGTAAAACAGAGGTTGAAATGAGATAGAAAATAAGAAATTAGCGATACATATATTTATATATGAATGAGAAAGGCTCTACAGCGTTTAAAGTGCAAATGTTGACTGAAAAACGTTCATTTATTCACAGTTTTATCAGTAAAAAGAGTATTTAAGTGACCTCTGACCTCCTCAGGTGCTCCACAGCAGCAGGTCTGTGCCCCCCTTTAAGAAACACCCCGTTCCCATGGAAACAGAATATCGCTGCAGCTTCCTGGGTCAAGCCCCGCCCCCAGAGCCCCGCCTCCGGAAACACCTGCATCACACACACAAGGTACACACACACACACACACACACACACACACACACACACACACACACACACACACACACACACCATTAATTCACTGGAATTAAAATGACTGCTTCATTTTTCCTAGAAATCTTCACCCAGACAGGTTTGAGTTCCTGTGGGCCAACCGACAGCACGCACGCACACACACACACACACACACACACACACACACACACACACACACACACACACACACACACACTAATGGCGCATTTCCATTGCAGGGCCTCGCTTGGCTTAGTACGGTATAGTTAGGCCTTGGTAGGCCAGGCTCACTTTATGTTACTATAGTAACGTAGTGTAGGCGGAGCCGTGACGTCATCTTCAATGCGAACCACAGAAAAACAACATCAGCCGTTAGCTGTTAGCACTCAGAGCTCACAGCTCCTCATATCTGTTCAGAAACTAGACAAAAGTTAAACAAGTACAAACCACAGACTGCCTGTGTCATGGCGAATACAGTCTCTGGCTTTATTTATGTCTGTAGGCCGTTGTTGTGAGTGTGGACGGTCCGAGCATATACTTTATATATATATTTTAAAAGGTTTTTCGCCTGCCGTCTGTCTGCAGACTTGTCAAAGCATTAATTCATGGTTTTTACTAACCGGTATCAGTATGTTGTTACTTCGGCATCATTTAGAAACGTGTATTACAATTAAATCACGGTCAAATATGTTCATCTTGTTGTAGTTGTAGCCCCCTTGCCAGCGATTCTCTCTCTAGTTTAGCATACTCAGCCTGGTTGTTGGCCCGGAAAGAACCTCCATTTTATGGGGCCAGAAAACTGTGAAATAGTACCCGCTAGCCGGAACTACGCTAAGTGGAAACGCAACCAAAAACGGGCCGGGTACGATATGCTTAAACCGCGCTCCGCGCTGTAGTGGAAATGCACACACACACACACGCACACGCACACGCACACGCACACGCACACGCACACGCACACTCACACACACTAATACACACACAAGGTACACACACACACAGACAAGGTACACACACACACAAGGTACACACGCACACAAGGTACACACACACACACACACACACACACACACACACACACACACACCACACACACACACACACACACACACACACACACACACACACACACACACACACACACACACACACACACACACACACACACGTATTTCTGTATGAATGACCAAGACTTTAATACAAATGTAAAAAAAAAAGTAAATGTTCTCATTAAAGTTTCTATTTTTCTCTCCAGACCAACAAGAAGAGGAGGGAGGAGCCAGAGAAGAAGCCCCGCCCCAAACAGGAAGTAGCTACCCCTCAGAAACAGGAAGTCCCACCCCCCCCTCCTCCTCAGGTGCACAGAACTCACAGGTGCGTTTCAGTGTGTGATGGTCTTACCTGTCTTTGATATATGTTATAAGAAATCCTCCCTTTAAATGTTCTTATTAAATCGGATCTAAGTGATTATCAGAATAAATGAGTTCCATCCATCCCTCCCTCCATCCATCCATCCATCCATCCATCCATCCATCCATCCATCCATCCATCCATCCATCCATCCATCCATCTATCCATCTATCTATCTATCTATCTATCCATCATCCATCCATCCATCCATCCATCCATCTTCTCCCTCTTATCCGTGGTCGGGTCTCGGAGGTATCAGTTCCAGCAGAGAGCCCCAAACGTTCCTTTCTCCTCATCAACCAGCTCTGACTGGGGGTCCCAAGGTGCTCCCAGGCCAGAGAAGAGATATAATCCCTCCACCTGGTCCTAGGTCTACCCCTCGGTCTCTTCCCAGCTGGACGTGCCTGGAACACCTCCCTAGGGAGGCGCCCAGGTGGCATCCTTACTAGGTGCCCGAACCACCTCAACTGGCTCCTTTCTACGCGAAGGAGGAGCGGTTCAACTCCGAGTCCCTCCCTGATGACTGAACTTCTCACCTTATCCCTAAGGGAGACGCCAGCCACCCTGCGGAGAAAACCCATCTCGGCCGCTTGTATCCGCGATCTCGTTCTTTCGGTCAGGACCCATCCTTCATGACCATAGGTGAGGGTAGGGACGGAAATGGCCCGGTAGACAGAGAGCTTTGCCTTCTGGCTCAGCTCTCTTTTCCTCACAACGGTGCGGTAAAGCTCCCGCTGCTCCGACTCTCCGGCCCATCTCACGCTCCATTGTTCCCTCACTCGAGAACAAGACCCCGAGATACTTGAACTCCTTCACTTGGGGTAAGGACTCATTCCCTACTTGGAGTGGACAGTCCATCGGTTTCCTGCTGAGAAATAAATGAGATTGTTTTTCTTTTATTAAATCCACTTTCTTTAAAGGATGAACAGCTCAGTGCGTTCCTCCCCAGACGGCTTCTATCTAGTTGCATATCCCCATGTTGAAATGAAAGCGGGATATTGCCAATCTCATCTGGTACAGCTCTGTATAAGATAAGATAAGAAGATAAGAAGTACTTTATTGATCCCATATTTGGGAAATGTTTCATAAAAGACAAGGCATTGTACATTAGAGAAATTAGAGTAGAAATAAACAATTCTAAAATGTAAACATCTCAAAATAGAAATAAAAGGGCACTAAAAAAAGTAGAAAATATACATGTTGAAGTATCATTTTACAGTTAACAAAATGTGTGTGAGAGTGTGAGTGTGAGAGTGTGAGTGTGAGAGTGAGAGAGTGAGTGTGAGAGTGAGTGTGAGAGTGAGTGTGAGTGTGAGAGTGTGAGTGTGAGTGTGAGAGTGTGAGTGAGTGTGAGTGTGAGAGTGAGAGTGTGAGAGTGAGTGTGAGAGTGAGTGTGAGTGTGAGTGTGAGAGTGAGTGTGAGAGTGAGTGGTGAGTGAGAGTGTGAGT